ACCTAAAAGTAAAAAAGATGACCAATCCATAACAACAGAGACTTAATCAGTCTTCTTGTCTTGTCCATCAATGGCTCTAAGCCTTTCAACAAGAGGAGGGTGTGAGTAGTGATAAGCTGAGTACAATGGATCTGTGTTCATTGCTGATAAGTTCTCTTCCTGCAACAACAAAAATCCCAACAAAAAAACAACCATTAAAGCTTTATGACAACACAATATTGAGGAAACAAGGTCTCTCTATTTGTCTTTCTCTGACCTGTAGCTTCACTAGAGCAGGACGAAGATCTTTTGCATAACCAAGCTTCACAGCAAAAGCATCAGCCTGCAATTAACTCAGATTTGGTGATGATGCAGGCGATGATAGAAAGAAACTTCATTTGGATCTTGAGGGATTGTTTAATTTTTTACCTGAAACTCAAACGCTCGACTAACGAGGTTGAGGCCAAAGCTTACTAGGTGTTGAAGTGGTATTACAGTGTGCTGTGAGAATCAGATATGAATATAAGATTTGGTTGGAGCTTCTTGATCCATGATGAGTTATTAAGTGTCCAAAACCAAAAAATAACGAACCTGAAATATGATCAATCCAATGAGAACTGGTTGTGTATCAAATCCAAAACTCCTGAAGAGATCAGTGGAGTTTCTGACAAGAGTGTATCCTCCAAATTGCAAGAAGGCAAGGATCTGCGATGAAAAGACCGAGAACACGACGTCATATATAATGTTTTAGAACACGACATCACAGGTACCTGTTGAAGATAAGAGTGAATAGGATTTAGAACTGTTGAGGCTCACTTGTACTGCAATGAACGAGTATGTAGTGTGATTCAGCTTCCAGTGTCCAAGCTCGTGTGCAATAACCGCCACAATTTCATCCTCATTCTTGCACTGCGCAAAAAAAAAAAAAAACAGAGTGTTTTGTTTTCAGAAGCAGAATCTGAATGTGAGTACAGCTTTGCTTGAAACATTGAGAGTCAAGGTACCTGCTGAATCAATGTATCATAAAGAACAATCCTTTTGTTCTTGAAGAAACCATACATGTAAGCCTGTAAGATATAACAAAAAGCGTGAGCTTCTTATGGTAATCTAGAAATGTAGGCATTAAGAGATCTCAAGCGATTAAATCCTCACATTGCTATGGCTTGACCTTGTAGATCCATCGACAACAAACAGCTTCTTCAGAGGAAACTTTAGAGACGAAGCAAGTTTCTCAATTTTTTCCCGAAGGTCTCCATCTGGAAGCTATACCCATACATAACGGAAGAATTAGTTGTCTGATGATAAAATGAAGACAAAACATGGCTGATTTATAAATAAATACTCACAGGAGTGAACTTGTTGAAAAGTGGCGCAATCAAAACCGGGTATATGGTCATCATCACAAGAGACAGGATAAACATGAATGCCCACAGATAGATGGCAAGGTAAGGACCTCCTTTCTGGATAAAAAGGATTAAAACTTCATGGTCAGAGAGAGTAAATTATAATTTTTTAATACAAAAGCTGAACACTTTGAGCTCGCTTTCATTGGAGAATAGTGAATACTGAGTATATGTGAAAAACGCAGAAATAAGATGAATCCAGAATCACCAAACCTGAACTATAAAAATTATAGCGGCAACAATAGGTGGACCAAGTATGACAGAGAGAAGTGTTCCTTTAATCATGTCCCTAATGAACATCCATATTGTTTGCTGCAGACAGAATTTATACGAAAATTTAATCCACATATGTAATCAATAAACGATAAGAAACAAGGTAGTATTGAAAATACGACATACTTTGTTGAACCCATGCCGAGACTCAATCACGAAAGTTGAGTACAAAGAAAATGGCAAATCAGTGATCTGCATCAAAATGTAAAAGAAACATTATTATCTTCAAAAAATATATATTTTGATCGTAAACGTATAAGACTATATGAAGGGGTTAGTTTGTAAAACCTGCGACCATGTCGTAACACCAGCCAAGAATGAAAGGGTGTGCAGTATTTCATTCTCTGGATCGAGTCCCACCATCGGTAGAACCCCTCCAGATATCTACGGTAATAATGAATATTTACAATTTTATCATACAATTTATATATATTCAAAAGAAGATATTTCATACTGAAGTCAGATATGTATGTACCTTCCAAAACCAAGGCAAGATCCCAAAGAACAAAATCGCAGAGTCCATAAGTATAGTCACAAACTCATGAACAAAGTGAAAGTAGCTGTAAAAATGAAACAACCTCAGTGATAATAGCCTTAGCAATTATAAGAAACTGACAAGATATAAAAATACAAAGAAACTATGAAACCTTTTGTCAAGACTGTATGCTCGAGATTTCTCAAACTTCTCTTGGCTTATCACTCCAACCAAGGTTTTCGGGAGAGTTGGAAGCTTGAGAGCAGTGAGTTGCCTCAGGTCCAAATACGTCTCAAAGATGTACATCACTATCATAAAACCTGAAACATAAAAACAGAAGCTGAACATGAATCTGATATAAATGCCACAACAACAGATACTCCATCTCCTACGTTTCGATCAACCAGTTAAAAAACGATCAACTTGCTATTGATATGTTTAGCCAAGTTAGAATATTTTGACCAAACAATCTGTCTGTACACCACAGGAGCATTGAAAGAGTTTTGGTGCACAACAAAAAACCATTGCAAAATTTCTCTCTAAACCCCAATTGTTTTCAGGAACACAAAAACCCCTAAGAAAAACCAAAAGATTTGCCCAAAATATGGATTTGACAACGAAAGACTCCAAGATACTCAATTTCCGATCGGCAAAGAAGAAAAAGACTCCGACTTTTCTTCACTAAACCCTAATTCTTCACTAGTCATCGCTGCTCCGTACACACTAGTACGATGACGAGATGTTGTTTATAGATATCTCGAGACCTAAGATCAAATTGCACGAGTAAGACGAGAAACAGTTCGATTCATAAAACCTTAGATCAAGACACACAATATCTGAAAAAAACCAAATACAGAAACGAAAAGCAGCGATGATGGCGTAAGAAACCAGTCACGGAATCTCA